GGCTGCTGGAAGGTCGGGGGGGGGGGAAGGAGGAAGAGAAGTGTTCTTTGTTGATGCCAGAGTGGCCACCACGGCACCCTGGGAAGGCTGGAGGCCCCCTAGTTTGAAATAAGTGTCAATACAGCACTTATTTCAAATAGCTATTTCGAATTTGGCATTATTCCTCGTGGAATGAGGTTTACCAAATTCGAAATAAGCGCTCTGCTATTTCAAAATTATTTCGAAATAGCGATTTGGCTGTGTAAACACTAGGAAAGTTATTTCGAAATAAGGGCTGTTATTTCGAAATAACTTTGTTGTGTAGACATACCCTCACATCCTTATTTTTAAGTAGATTGAAAATTCTAAAACCTAGGGAATAAAAACTGTAACTGGTAATTCATATTTTCCCAATATCCAAGAAATAAACCTCTTTTTCTTGTAGACTGTTTTCTATGCATGAGCAATATGTTTTGAGCCAGCAAGTAACAGGTTTGTTCCAGATTAAAGTCTGATAGTCCTTATCCATCAGAGGGAAAGACTGAAGATCTAGATCAGGATTTCCCAACCTATGGGTTACGACCCAAATATGGGTCGCCATTACGTTTCAAAAGGGTCACCAGGTGTCTCCCCAGGTGGCTCTGCCCCCTCTTCTCTGTCCATTTTTGAATTGCCTTGGGTCACCAAGTCTTCCTGAATTGTCAAAATGGTTCTCCATCTGGAAAAGGTTGGGAACCACTGATCTAGATGAAGGATCCTGCTCTGTTGCTGAGACAGCAAGTTTGAAGACAAAGGGAGGTGCTGACTGCCGAAGTAGGTCGTGTAACACTGCTGTGTCAACCAAGATTGGGCAATCATGATCATCGTTGCCCTGTTCTAATATATCTTCTTCACCATTTTTTTAATTCATGGGAAGGAGGACAAAGCATGTAGAAGACCCTTTCTCTACCAGGAAAGCTTCCAAGATGGATTGATTGTCCATTTCTGCTGTTGACAAAAAGAAACAACAGGTTTTTTTTAACCTGGTTGCAAACAGATCTGCATTGGAGTGCTCCAGCTGGAGAGAATCTCAGGCACCACTTGATCCTTCATGCACCACTCGCACATCTGAAACCTGTCCCAGCTGAGATGATCTCTAATACATTGCTGTCCCCTGCTTAAAGCAAGGCTACCAGTAGATGTGGTGAATTCCCCTGTCGCGTAAGTTGACTGTTTTGGAAAACAACAGGAAAGAATAAGCACTCCTTGCATGTTGATGTAGTACATATGGATGTCCTGTCGATTGCTACCTGAAGAATCTTCCCTTTATGAGAGGAAGACAATATCTGAAAGCAAGATGAATGATTCTTAATTCCAAATACTTATATACTCTCCCATTTCCTTGTTGGGGTCTTGGAGGATGTTATGACAGAAGCTGAAGAGGATTGAGAAACATACTGAGAATCTATTTGTCTACCACGTCAACTAATTAATGATGTTCTGAGGAATGGTAACAAATATCTGAAGATTGACCAAACAGGGTCTGTAAACTTGAGACACAATGCTGCATCTACCTCATTCTGAGGCATGCAAGTGGAGTAAAGTAAGTGGTCACTGCTATAAGACTCATCCAATCCAAAAAGAAAATAACTGGGTGTGGTGGCGCATCTGCCCCACTCTGATGAGAGAAGGGCTAAAAGCAGGCCAGGGCGCCTGTGCAAACCCAGCCATTGAAAGAGAGGCTTCTAGGGAGCCTGTCAAAGGGCTGTTTGCTGGGGAAGCCCTGCTATAAGGAGCTGCTCAGCAGAGCAGGGGGCAGTTGGATACTGATCACTGAGGATGACTGGTTCCCTGGGAGAAGCACCTTGGGTAGAGAAGTGCTGGGCAGACTCAGGGGAACTGGAGAGACGCTCCTGCCTGATACCTTCCAGCTGAGCACCTTGACACAAGGGCTGAGAAGATGCAAGGGTCACAGGTTAGTGACCCAGGGTACTGTGAAGGCAGTTAAGAGGAGTAAAGGGAGGGCAGGACAAGGCTTCTGCCATAGGGTCTCTGGGCCAGGACCCAGAGTTGTGGGCAGGAATGGATTCTCCTCTCCCCGCTTTTTTCCCCTTGCACCACACCTTGTCACCAAGTAGTATGGCCTATGCAGACTGCAACCTGCCCCTGAGGCAAGAGGCTAGACTTTAAGGCTGTAGTTGGCCATAGCAGCAGGTATGAGACTGAAGACAGCTGAAACCCCTGAAAGGGGGCATAACAGAGTGGTACACGCAGCTAGGGAAGCAGACACCATGGTTCAGGGAGTGACGCAGATTTGGAGCCAGAGGTAGAGACTGCAGAGTGAAGACAGGCAAGAGATTGGCCAGAAAGTGGACCACTCCATCAGACTGAGTTAATTCCAGGATGACCAGCAGGAGGTGCCGTGGCTGTTAGTCAAACCCAACTACACTGTGTTTGACAGAGTCAGATCTCCAAAACAGAGGAGGTCCACGAGGAGTACAGCTAGTTCAGATTAGGAAGCCTAATCCGCACTAGCTACTCCGTGCCGCGTGTAGCCGCGCGGCATGGGGTTCGAACTAGCCGGGATTTAAAAATGGCGGCGCCCGGCTTATGCAAATGAAGCCCGGGAAATTCAAATCCCGGGCTTCATTTGCAAGTGCGGTATGCCTACATTACCCTCCTAGTTCGAATTAGGAGGGTAGTGTAGACATACCCTGAGAAACTACCCGAAAAAATGAAGGATTTTGGGTGGGAGGTAACTTTTCAAATTGTATTTTATAACCTTTTTCTATCATTTCTAGGACCCTCTTTTCCAAGGTAATAAGCCTCCAATTGTCAGTGAAATGAGCTAGCTTGTCTCCATACAAAGGAAGGGAGGAATTCTTGCCAGTTGCTCCACAACTCTTGTTCCTCAGGTGAAATCTGAGACCTTGTAGTCAGCAAAGGAAGGAACAGATTGCTTTGCCATAGCTATGGATTGGAGAGCAGCTAGCTTGACTCAATGATGCCTTTGACATCTTTATATGTTTAATCAAGGAATCCAACGAAACAGGAATAGAAGCCAGAACCAGGAAAAATCCCGATCCCCAGGATCTTTTCGGTACTTTAGGCTTGCTAAACAAGGCAACTGGAGCTGAAACATGCTGTTAGTCTTCAGCTCTGGTGATCTCCCAGAACCTGACAATTTAGCAAGAGGAATCATAGGGTTTAAGAGACCTCTGGAGGTCATCAAGTTCAACCTCTCCCTGCTAAAAGCAGGACCAATCCCAACTAAATCATCCCAGCCAGGCCTTTATCAAGCCAGGATTTAAAAACCTCTAGGGCTAGAAATTCCACCACCTCTCAGGTAACCCATTCCCATTGAAATAGTTTTTCCTAATATCCAACCTAGATCTCCCTTACTGCAACCTGAGACCATTGCTCCTCGTTCTGCCTCTGTCACAACTGAGAACAACCTCGCTCCATCCTCTTTGGAACCCCCCTTCAGGTTGTTGAAGGCTGCTATCAAATCCCCCCTCAATCTTCTGTAGACTAAATAGCCCAAATCCCTCAGCTTCTCCTCATAAGTCATGTGCTCCAGCCCCCTAATCACTTTTGTTTCCTCTGTTGGACTTTTTCCAGTGGGTCTCCCTTTCTATAATGGGGTGCCCAGAATTGGATGCAGTACTCCAGGAGCACTAGCATGCTTCTCCTTACGTGCTCTAAGTGTAAAAAGCTGAGAAATAGAACAACCAGACAGACAGTGGCCTTGCCTAAAGCACTTTACAGCACCTAACTACAGCATGATAGTCTGACATTGGGAAGACGTCTGGGTATGAAGCACAATTTCATTCCTGGGCTGACATTATCTTTGTTCAACGGAAAGAAGCACAACTATTAAAACCTGGCTGCTGCTTTTTTGTCAGTTCTATGTTAGCCAACTATACCAGAACTGCCTTAAACTACACTTAACACTAAAACAAACTACTATTCCAAACTATCCAAAGATGCTGAGTAGGAGAATACTCTGGATCTGATTGAATCAGTTCACTTCCATTTGGCACAGAGGTTGAAAGGTACTGAGGCAGTAGAGGCCACAGCGTCTCCTTGTGTGAACTCCCATCAAACTGGAGATGCTATGGGGAGGAGCAGGAAGGGGCAACAGAAGTTGTAGAAGTCAATGATGAGAGAAGGTTCTACCATCAGGCTGCACTGTGTGGTATGCAGAGCCATTAAAAGCAGAATAACATTATGAAATGTCTTTAGATTTTGTCACATAAAGGACCTTTTGGATATATTGGCAGTGGTTCCATGAACCTGCCCTATAACAATGCTGGGGGCTGATTACTTCCTTTCATTGTTAATAAATTAAATCTCAAGGTGGGGCCTTTCTAGAAGTTTATTATACTCCTTGGATTACTATTGTCCTTTAGTCCTTGCTTTTGTGTATTTTAAAACTACATAAGGC